TTTGCTCTCGAAAGCTCGCTCAATGCGTAGATGGTTTTGCGTAGAGGCAGGGGATGAGGAAGAACGGAAAAACATGGCGGGTGATGAGATGCGGTGTTGGGTTACTCATGATGATGAGTCGCGGATAAAGGGGGCTGGAAAGGAGATTAGATGAGATGAGACGAGATGTGATGAGGGGTAGGGATGGGATGGTGAAGCGAGAGATAGAACGGCAAATGTACAGAGACACACCTACACAGAGAGCGATCTAATAATAGCGATACAGCGAGCAATACATCGAGATACCAAGAAAGAAAGTGTCGATTCAAATTTTGATGCATGCATACAGACGTATATATGACTTGAAGTGAAAAAGCAATGCATGAGTGATATTCGTGATGTTCTTGAAAATCGACTACCAACCTAGGTATGTGTATAGGTAGGTATACTTATCATGTTCGAAAACCAATCAACCATTCACTCATTCAAGACAGCTATGAATAAGTAGTCATACAAGTACAGAATCTAAACATCAAACAATAAAATACACACAAAGAAAAAAAATGAGTTTTGTATTCTTGTATTCTTATTCACGTCCTAAGATTGATTAGGTAGGTAGGTAGATAATTACAGGCGTTCTTTCCCTATCTCTTCTTCTCTATTTTTTTTTTTCCTTTCTCGTTGAGAGGATAGAGGATAGGTAGGTAGGTAGGTAGGTAGGTATGGAAGTATTATCCCCCCATTCCTTTCACATACCATGCCATACCATGCCATACCATATTAGACCACAAAGATCCTTCTCTATTTCTCTCCTTTCTTTTCTCCTCTCTCCTCCCCACCTTCCTTCCTACATTCCATCTAAGCTCTATCCTCCTTTCTCGCGTTCACACCCGCCACATACCTCCGTCTCCCCCTTCACCAACTTCCCCGACAGAAAAGTCCCCAATGTAAATGAAAAATGCTATAAAAAAAGTGTAGATACTCCATTCACCATACCGGTATACATTTTCATTTGAGAAAAGAAAAATAAAAATCATCAAAAAAACCCCCCATACTCCATTGCGATGAAGCATTCGTAATGCGAAATGCGAAACCTGGTATTCAGAATTCTGGGTTCTGGATTCACAAAGCCCGTAGGAAGATGGATGGCGGGAAAAGAAAGCATCCACCGTCTTGTCTTGCACACCATGACAATCGAATTAAAATGTCATCATCTTCCAGGCTTCAAAGCTAGAAGTTGAAAGCAGCGAATGAAGAGAGTTCCCCATTTCTATCCTCTTCCAAACACCATGTATACTTTCCACAAAGTATTTGCGTAATAAAGTGAGTACGACGGAACGAGTCTACAAATACAAACTTTGAGCCGCGACAATATCTCTCCTGATTTTCTTAAGCGACTCATCGAATTTATTCGAGATGTCATCGGAGCCCATGACTTTTCCTGCTTGAGCCATTTGTCTGAGGAGTTCTTCGAGACGACGGAAGAGTCGGATCAGAGATCCTTCGTAAACGTCTGTCATTTTACTAATATATTGTGTTAGTATAATGCTATCTCATCTTACCTCACATGAGGATTCTCAAAGGGAATCAAAACCAAAAAAACTTACCAGATTTCCGCAAAACTCTTTCCTTGTGCCCAAACATAAACAACTTCCATGAGTTGCCACTTGAAACTAGTCACGTATTCTTCCTCATTCATCTTCAATTTACTCTCCGCAGTAACCTTTGCGACGATCCTAGCTTGAGCTTGGATTTCTCTGTATTTAGCAGCCAATTCCTCTTTAAGTGGAGGACATTGACTCTTTTCTTCGAAAATGAAAACCGACAGAACGGCTGCGCACATTTCTGGGGTTAAATCGTTGAAGTAACCATTAAAAAGGAGTTCGGAGAGAAGAAGTTCATGACCATCGCCTGTGGATGAGATTTCACATGCAACACGGGCCTTTAGTTCGACGACTTCTTGTTCGTTGATGAAGCCGAGACGACGTAAAACACGTTTACGTGACTTGAGTTCATCGAGTTGCATGATGCTCAATGCGGAAGCAATAGCCTTGCGCTTTTCCTTGATTTGTTTGGTAAGTTCGAGTTTGCCGGCATATTGATTATAGAGATCTGGGAGACGGGGTGAGTTGTGGAGGGGATTGGAGAGTAAGCGAGATTCAAGAACTTCAATCTTGCGAAGAAGTCGCTTGAAGGAATCATCTGTGATACCCATATTCTCGATTGGGTCAAGCACTGCGATACCATCTGGGAAACGACGTTTGACTTCCTCAAGAGATTTGCGTACTTGATTTCGTTCGTTGGCTGGGTGAAGGTCCTTTGGAAGGAATATACGGACATGTCCAATGGCTTCAACACATGATAAAAGTACAGGAACAATTTCCATCTTGCCTTTGTCGCCTGCAGCAGGTGGTGTGATGCCTAACGGTAGGTCGTTCTGTGTTTGTGTAGTAACTGTACTGTCGGAAGAAACTAGCAGAAGCACGTCAAGGATGTATGCTTGTTGTGGAGGAAATTCTTGAGCAGATCCCTTAGCAGGTCGTCGTGCTGTAAACTTCACAACTGCTCCCCAGCCGAAATCATGATCTTGGTGTTTGATGTGAACAACACGTCCTGGTTGCATGAATTGAAGACAGTAGTTGGGGTGGTTGATGACATCACGCATGTCCTTAGTATAGGTAGTAAGTTGTTGTCGAAGATCATAGTAATCCTTAATGGTTGCTTCATCTGGAATTTGAACTTCATCCCTCGCAATTTGCAAATCTTGAAGTTCCTTTTCGAGACCAGTAACACTCGAAGTGTTCTGGAATTGGTAGAAACAATGTTCTAACATGAACTCTGGTGAGATTCCTTCCAGACGCATCAAGTTAAGAATCATGTTGTAACCAAGGTAGAAAGCTGAATTGAGCTTATCCTGCTCTCCACGTACAATTGTCTTGGCACTCTCTGGCTCCATTGTATCGTTGATCATCATAATGACAATACCCCTATCATCAAGACCACGACGACCGGCACGACCTGACATTTGCACGAATTCAGATGGCGTTAGGTATCGCATCTTCTCACCATCGAACTTCTCAACGCTAGTGAATACTACAGTCTTGGCAGGCATGTTCAAACCAATGGAGAAAGTCTCTGTAGCAAAAAGGACCTTGATCAAGTTCTCCTGGAACAAAATTTCGATGGTTTCCTTAAGAATGGGAAGAAGTCCAGAATGATGCACACCAATACCACGTCTCAACAATGGCAAGATGTGTTGAATTTGCGGTAGGGTCCTATCCTCTTCTGAGAGAGACTCGATTGCACTCTCGAAGACCTTCGAAACCATGTCTTTTTCGGATTGATCGTTGAAAGCCATGGAGCTCATCTGTAATGCATATGCCTCGCACTCTCTCTTACTGAAACTGAACACAATGACGGGATTGTAATGCTTCAACATGATCATGCGGACAATCTTGTAAATATCCGAACCTTCCTTATTGGCACCCTTATTGGTCTTCTTATCTTTTCCACGCCCCTTCTGTTTTGCATTGATGTCTGCTGGATCAGCCCCTTTCTTATCTTCTATTGTTGCCATAGCCTTTGAAAAGTTATCTTCCCTGAAGTTTCCCTTCTCATCAACAATCAAATGTATACCATCTGCACCAGCTGGGAAGAAGTAGTGTTGTAGAGGGGTAGGTCGGAAATCGGTGTAAACAATGTGACATGGCTGGTTGTGAGTTTTCGTGATCCATTCGGCAAATTGCATAGCATTGGGAATAGTCGCTGACAAGAAGACATATCTGACCTTGTCAGGTAATAAGATAATCGTTTCCTCCCAAACCACACCTCTAGATTTATCTCTCATATAATGAATCTCATCAAAGACAACCCAAGCGACTTCACGCATAATCTCAGATCCTCGATACAACATAGATCTCAAAATCTCGGTTGTCATAACTAGACAGGTCGCGGTTGGGTTAATTGTAACATCTCCAGTCATCAAACCAACGTCTCCAAAATCCGCAGTAAATTCTCGATATTTCTGATTACTCAAAGCTTTAATAGGACTGGTGTAAATGACTCTCTGATTGTTTTTGAGGCATTGCGCAATTGCATATTCTGCCGTAACAGTTTTTCCTGCACTAGTATGCGCCGATACCAATACACTCTCGTTTCTTTGGATTGATGCAATAGCGACTTTCTGGAAAGGATCTAATTCGAAAGGCCAAGTTCTCGCGGGTTCGGCAGGAGCTTTATGCTGCGATATTGGGATGTATTCGTAATCGGGAGGTAAAGAAACTTGATGTTGAATGTTGTGCTGTAAAACCAATGCTGTTTCTTCTGGGGCACCTTGTAATCCGGCTGAAGCAGCTACCTCTCGCGATTGTGCTGTCTCGAATGTATCTGTAACTACCGGATCGGCTTCTGTGTCTTTTCTGCGTCGTTTAGCGTCCTTCTTTGCTTCTTTGGTTTCGTCATCTTCTTCAATATCCTCTTCCTCTACATCTGCTTCTACCGCTGGCTCCTCGGAATCTACCATCTCAGAATCCACATCTTGCGCATCAGCAATTGGCTTTACATCTCCATTCGCATTTCTCTTCTTGCTGCGATCTTTCTTGTCTTTCTTTGCCTTTTTAGGCCTGCTGGGAGCAGCTGTTTGGGGCTTATCGTCGAAGGCGTCAAATAAGTCATCCATGACGATTGATATCCTACCACATTAACCAAGATGCAAAAGGCAATCGTGGTTTGTTGATACTTTATAAATGTATCAAAAAGTACAGGGTGTGGGTTAACAAAGATATTTTTTTATTATCGCTTTCCGCTCCGGGCACTATCTGAGATAACCTTGGAAAATCCCATTCTTTATTTAGCCTTAGGCATTAAAATATCTGGTTTGATTGTCGGCTAGTGCCAAACCGAGCTTCAATCAAAATCATTCGATTGACTGTTTACCCAAAATACAAAGCAGAACTCAATTCTTAAGGTAAGGCTGCGCTATCATAACAGCCCCAAGAGAAACTACTAACAGATCATAATAGATGTTGTCTAGAGCCGCCGTCCGCGCATCCTCCTCCACCTCAACGGTCGCCCGCCGTGGCTTCCACTCTACCCGTGCTCAAATGGGTTCTCCATACCATTACCCTGAGGGACCACGAAGCAACATTCCATTCAATCCAAAAACCAAATTCTTTGCTTTGAGATACTGGGGATTCATGGCTCTTGGATTCGGTAAGTTAGGATAGCAGCCCTGCTGAGGGGCATGGAGGTTGAAGGGAACCACACTAATATTGGGTTTAGGTGCTCCATTCGGCATTGCAGTCTGGCAAACAAAAAAGAACCAATAGAGGGCTGTTTAGGTGTACATTGCATTGGGAGGACAGTTATAAATCGATTGGTATTCAAAGCTAGAGGGGTGGGGGAACGATTGTGTATACAATACAACAGTTTTCACGGATATGACTTCATTCTTTATATTGATTATGATGGTCTCCCAAGGTACCAGACTTTATCGCGGCTTCTTCAGAGCCCCCATATGACTCACATGGTCAATTTATACCCATGGAATTCACTCGCGGCTCCTCGAAGATACTTTCTCGTCCTAGATCAAGCGGTTAGAAGACAGCCCCTCATGTCTCTGATATGGCACCATCTTATTACACACTCCCTTCAAGCCTGCACTTTAACTTTGGTATCAAAGGTATGCCTGTCTGCTGCTTTCAAAGCGAAACATCCCTTAAATTCTTCCTGGGCTCCCGATAGCTCTGCCATTGCACTCTTCATGTGATCAGGATCAGCTCCATTCTGAACCTCAACACTAGCAGTCAAAATCCATTTGTCGTCAGCATCAAATGGCTCCAGTAATTCAAAGGGAGGTAGCCTGCTGTTGACCTTAGGGCGTGAGGTCTCATCAACTTCTTGGAACTCTGAGGGGATTTCAAAGTAGCGACTAAGTGTAAAGACTATATTATTGTGAACAGTTCGGTGACTTTCTTGAATAATCTCCCGTGTGAATCTACTTGATGATTAATAACTGTAGATGATTGGTTAGTAGTCATTTCAACGTACCGGTGACTGCTTGCTTGAAGAAGTCTGCATAATGACTTTTCATTGTCTATCGCAATGAACATTCTGCTATTCACGACAGCAGCATTGGCTGGATCTGGAAGATCGGTCCACCTTAATGTACCAGGCACCTCATCACATGGGAGAAGACCCCTAGTTGAAGTCAATAAGTATTTTGTCAAGATGTTGAAAGCCCGTCTCAACAGATCACATGCTTTGATATGCAATCAATGAAAATTAGCCACTTACGGTCGGCCTTCTCCACCATCAAGCTCCTTTGCTGGCTGACCAAGTTGACTTTTATCAACATCATATATCAGAGTCAGAACGTAAGATTGACGAATCAGCTGCTCGTTGAGTGACTTCCACCAGAATTGTTTATTCGGCGGTTGGGCTTTCAAAAAGGAAGGATCAAGACCTTTCAAATTGTTGCGACTGCGTGGACCTTCGAATACTAATCGTCGACGAATAAAGTGCTGGGGTATCATTCCACAGTAGCCTTGGAGTACACGGAGAGAATGAGATACATCTTCGCTATCGACGGATGCCGAGAGGAACAACTCATGCATGGTGATTTTACCCAGAAGGCTGACAAGGATTGAGTTTGGGGGAAGGCCGAAGTACGGAGGTGGAAAGAAAATCTTTTGAGGGGGAGGTGGGAGGGGGGTGTAAGTTTTTGCTTATTGTGGTATAAATGAGGGAGAGTTTCCGTGGGCAAAAGTATAATTATTCTCGAAACGTGTTGTTGCAGTAGTGATGGATGGGTACCAAGGGTAGCTGGAGGTAGCAATGAAGGACCTTGAGCTCAAAATGTGATGACCGTACAGTTGAGAATCATCGAGGGAAAGAAACATATCTTTTTCCAGTCTTCACTTCCCGTCCCCAGATATACCTAGGTACACCAAGCTATTCAATTTCTTTGATATAGGACGAGTGCAAGCGAATGATTTCTTTGCAGTCACTTTTTATCAACATTTCCCCAGACCACCCTAGACTTTCAGACCAGACGAGGCTTTCGAGGCTGATAGAGTTAAGTAGGTGGGTAGGTAGGTGGACAGATAAAGCTCTACAACTTTGGATGATAATAACTTTGGATGATAATAATTTCCTTACAAAGTAACCCCGTAGTGATTGAAGTAGAGTCAGTGACAGTTAATGAATCAATGGTTGCTCTCTCGCTTATGTTCGGAATTGTCTCTGAATAACCCGAATTATTACTCGGTAGTGTGGTATGTACCCATCCCATACAGAGAGGAAAACAATCCTCGGCTAGTCCATCTTATCATCTGAAAATATCATATGTTATTGTTGTACCGGAAGTCCGTTGAAAATTCTAACTTTTTGCTTATGCCTTGGCTTTGAAATGAAATGGGTAGCTTGTGAAGACTGAAGAGCACCTCTTGCGGGCCAAGCGACCAGCCAACCAACCAACCAACCGACCAACAAGCCGTTGAATCTGCCAAATGTTACCTACCTGGGCGTGCATGAGAACTACCCTACTACCCTACTACCCACATACCACACGCCCCTTCCTGCAAAGTCAAGCCTCTTTCATACATTATGTGACAAGGAATCTGGGGAGAGAAATGATCTGACACCATTTATTATATACTTTGGACATTCAATGCATCCTTGATATTGATGGACATTATATGCTTTTGTTCATCACGCCATTAACTAGCATGTGTCTGCACTCTGCAACCATGATCAACCATGGTCAACCAATAAGCACGCAAGAATCGTTGTGCGATAAGAAAAAAAAAACCGATGATTGATAATTTGATGTCGTCTGAGGAATTAGAAATACATGTAATGCTCTATCGGAAGTGGCCTTTATCAATGGCTAACCCCGCACCAACCGAGACCTTTTCATCCGGTGGTATTCTATTAAGAAGACGGTTGGATTTTCTACTCTTCATTTCAGAGAGGAAGAGATATTACAGACATACGCTTACTTAAATAAATACAACACTCAAACCATTCACAGCTTCACATACCTAATCACCATCTTTTCTTTTGAATCACCCGCCACCATTTCCATATCTGGTTACTAGCGGACGCCTATCTATTCCCCTCCCCCCCATCCATCCACTCATCCATCCGATTCCCGAATTCTCGTCCCACTTACCACACGCTACGAGTACATTATTCACAAGACTAAAGCTTTCCATTTTCCGCACTCTTTTTCTTTTGACAACTTGACAACTTGACTTCTTGACTTCTTGACTTCTTGACTTCTTGACATCTCAATCTCCAGCAAGTCAAACACAGAGGCAGACGACGATCCTGACTTCCTTCTCAAACTCGCACATCTCAGCAGTATTCACAACTTCTCTTTGTGATTACTTTTTCAATCTTTCCCAACCATCAAGATGTTTGCGACCAAGGTTCTCCGTCAAGCCTCTGCTGCTGCTGCTCACGCTGAGCGTACTCCATTGATCAGATTCATGGGCAAGAGATCAATTCCCTGTATGTATTCTAATTTTCAATCTGCTCTATAATTCACTCTAACAGTTGAGATAGCTTCGGTTGATCACTCTGCACGACCACATCCAGCTTCCCCAACCCACGAACTTCCTGCAGGATTCGTTGAGGCTCAAAAGTCTTCCTCCTCTTCCTTCTCCTCCTACAGACAAAATGCTCAACAACATGGTCCACTTGGTCGCAGTGCCAGAAGTGACGGTACAATCGGTTCCCTCTCTGGTAGAGCTTTGGGCTCCGTTGCTCCAGCCAAGGGAGAATTCTTTGATCGCAGTGAACTCCCTGCACGTTTCCGACGTACTCCAATTGATCTTGCCGAGATTGATGCCATTGAGACTGGCGGTGCTACAGTTGTTTGCTAGATTTGAAGATTAAGAAAAGAAAGAAGAAAACTATTTGTACATTTATGGCTGGCTACGGAAAAGTGATGGATCGAGGGAGGATATACCCACGAAAACGATGGATTTCATGAAGATTCTGTGATAAGATGGACGAATATCAATAAGTTATCTTTCAGGACAGAGTGGAATACGCTCTACGTCTCTGTTTGAAAGTTTGGGATGCACAAAAGGATTGTAGCTCGGATCAGTGGCATGGAAAAGTTGCTTTTATGGGAGTCGGAGCATGTATCATCTTCCCTGTTGGAATAATTCTGATCTTGATCTTTACTCTGGAGTATGGGTTTCTGGGAAGTTCTTTTTATGGGTGGCTATCTGCATCGTTATGAGATGAGTTGAAGACAGCAAGAATATAACAAATATCAAACCAAACATGGAGCCAAAATACATTGATCACGTGCATAGAACATCATGATCCTCAACTACTTACTTAACCACAACTCGACATGATTTTCTCCATCTTGGGCTGTTTCCTTTTGGATGATACAGATCTCTCACATTAAATGACGCCCTAATTCTTGAATTGCATACAAATATCCCTTTCTAAATTCAAATGACTGCTACTCGCTAAGAATGATTCTTACCCATTACATCGCGTCATTCTGATATATCACCTAATTATCTACAAACAATTGATACCTACATTAAACATCGCACCTTACCTCCCCCTCATACAAAACCCCGCTTAATTCATTAAATCATCTAACTCCCGAGATCATGTCGAAATCAGAAGAAATCAAAGAAATAAACCAATCTGGTAAACTCATCGCTACTTATATTCGCTCTCATACTCCTGGTACTTCTGGGAGGAAATTTGACCGGATCGATGTTGATGTATGTGTTGTTTCTTTCTTCTTTTTCATCTATATACATGAAATGTATCTCTTCATAGATGAGAGGGTCTATTGGATTGATGAATATTGAAACTTTGAATAGATACCAAAAGGTCCGTCGACGTGGGTTATGAGTTTAGTAGGGGCATTCATGCCGGTGGGATATCCGGATAGTGTTACGGAGGATTATACTGCGTGGGTTTTTCTCTTTCTTTGAGGAGTTTCTCCTGCTTTGTTTTTGATTGGGATGTGAGAACTCTGGAGAATGATGACACTAATGGATTGTATTGTAGGTATCAATTTTATGTAAGATACCTTGGCTGGGGGAAAGGGGGAAGAAAATGCTGATGAGAGAAGGATTCTATTCAGGCTTTTGCTAGTACGATTGCGGGGTTGTTGGCTAGTAGGGCGGTGCTTCAAGGTATGAATGAGGTGAAGGACTCCTTTTGGGGGCCATTTGTTCGAGAGAATGAGTTTGTTTTTGAGCTTGTTGTCACAACTCCCTATCAAACCTTTCTCCTTTAAACATCACCACAAGCCTCCTTCTAAAAAGAACTCCAAATCTAATCCACCCCAGGTCTCGGCGTCGGCGACTCCACCGCCTCAGCAACCCACGCCGTTCTCCTCTCCATCCTCCAAGAATCCGCCGGCCGTATCTCTACCATCCTTTTCGCGCACCGACTCGGTAGCGCACTCGAACCCGAATGCAAAAAATATCGTCTCATGGCTGATATTTTCAACGACGCTGCTATGATTCTCGATTGCATCTCCCCTGCTTTTCCCAAGATTCCTCGTGTGTTTTTACTCAGTACGAGTAGTGTGTGTAAATCGCTTTGTGGAGTCGCGGCGGGAAGTAGCAAGGCGAGTTTGAGTGCGCATTTTGCGAAGATGGGAAATTTGGCGGAGTTGAATGCGGTAGGTTTTTTTCTTGAGTTTTTATGATAGAGGGATAGGGATAGTGGATGGGATGATACTAATAGAAAGATAGAAAGATGCAAGTCAGGAAACTCTCATATCCCTCCTTGGTATGCTCGTTGGAACCTTTGTCGTTTCCAAAATTTCCTCTCAAGTAGCCACGTGGATTGCATTGCTCACTCTCCTTTCCATCCATCTCGGTACAAACTATATGGCCGTCAGATCAGTCACCATGCGTACCCTGAACCGACAACGAGCCAATCTCGTCATTTCATCTTTCCTCTACAGTACAAACCACAAGAAGAACAACACTTCTCTCCCCTCCCCCAGAGAAATCTCACTCCAAGAACGCATCTTCGAACGCGACGGCGCAATTCGCAATATCCAAGGTACAATTCTCGCTTACTGCAACGTCGGCACGAGTCTCCAAGACCTCCTCTCTTCAATTTCTACACCCACAATTACAGGAAGTTATACAGAACCCGACTCAATCCTCAAATCTCTCCTATCCATCTACAAAGCTCAGGGTTACATAATGTGGTACTCCCGTTCCCGCAATACATTCCTCGTTGTTTTGAAAGAAGGATCGTCCCCGAAAGTTCAATTGGATGCGTGGTTTCATGCTATTTTTGCTATCAGTTTTAGGCGGGAGAAGATCCGTGGATCTGGGAATGCGAAGATGGATAATCAGAACATTTCAAATTGGATGAAGGAATCGCTAGAGGAATCGGAGAAATGGAGAGTAGAAAGCGAGTTTTATGCGGAGTTGGAGGGGAAGGGGTGGGATTTGAATACGCCGGCCATTGAGGTTAGAGCGGGGACGAGATTGGTTGTTGCGGGGGGAGAGGAGGAGAGAGAGTAAGGGGTGGGAGTGGATTAGGAAGGGGACGGTGAAGCAATGGGTTGAGTAAGAGGCTTGAGTGTTATTTGGGGCATTGAATATGAATTTTAATCAAAAGTGCAATCATGCTGTGTATATGCACACGGTAGGTTTCGAAGCTTGGAGATTTCACTTCACTTCACCCATCCCATCGAAATCTAAATAGTACGTCAAAAATAATTGCAGCGTCTCTCTTAAACACATCATTCTCATTATCATTCTCCCCACCTTTTCTTGACCTCGCTCCGTCCGAATCATTTCACCAAACCCCTTTACCAGCCAATATTCTCATTCTTTCCCCCCTCCAAATCACAAACAACAAACCATACATCCTCATCCCCAAGCACACAATCTCTTCTGCTATTCTGCGGCTGCTACTCAATCCCATCTCCATCTCTCTTCCATCAAATTCAGATCCAAAAATCCTACCTTTCCAAGAAAAATCATTCTATCTATCTATCAATCTATCCAGACGTCCGCATACCTAGGCAGTAAGTATGTAGTACATTGATCGATACCCATCTACATCTATATCTTCATCTCATCTCCTCTTCATCCCACTTCCCACTTCCCACCTCCTGTCCCCAAACTTCAAAGCAATAAATCTTCCATTCATTTCGAAATGGGTTTTCTCGTCCACTGTGTATTTGTGTGGGAGGATATGAGGACGTGTTGTGTAGGCGAACGTGAGGATATGAGAATATCTTGAAGTTCACAGCGGAAATTTCCTTCCAGGACAATGCAATCCACTACACACGTATAAGGGTCTTAGATCATCTCTTGGCTACTTATTCAATCACTGACATGTCCGATGTCGGGCCAAGAAGAAGGATTAGATGCAGTAGGAAGGTTGTGAGGGGAATTAATGTAAACCCACTTTTAGTAAAATGTTAATGTTTAATAGATTAGTACTTGATGTTTTGAAAGATTTTACTACTGCTTTAAACGAATCGAATAGATATTGAACTATTCCCCCTTAAATTTTAATATTTGAAGTTTTTTTTCGCTTTTTGTTAATCTTCATAGTTTTATGATATTTAAAGCTTCTAATAGGTTTTAAATAAAGTTAGAATAAAGATTCGAATACAAAATCTAATAAAAACTAATATTGTTACGAGCATCGATGTAGAGTCGGCGCTAGACCGATTATTATTCCGATATTAAAAAGTTTATATATATATATAGCTTTAGGAAAAAAGGTTTAAGGAATTAATAAAAAGTCTTTAAATTTAATTTATCTCTATTATAAAATTAATCTTCACCTTATTATAGCTCTTATAATTCTTTTTATTTAATTCTTTAAGAGTAAGTTATTAACTTATATTTAACAAATAGCTTCGAAAGTATTAAATTAATAAATCGCTGATATACTCGAGATATTCCTATAATAAGCTATTGATATATAATTTGTTGAGTAGATTTAATAAGGTATATCAGTAATAATAAAGTCTTAATCGATTCAATCTATTTATAACTAAGCTATACTAACTATATAATAAGTTATACCTAACGTAGTTTATTAATGGGTCGGTCATATCAGTGGATCAGTCATTTTTATCTTAAATTATTATTCTATATTCAATATGTATTTTCTGTATAATTAATCATGAAAATTCATTCTAAAGAAGCATATATAATTTTAATTATTTAAGCTATTAAATCAAATAAAAAATTATTAATTTGAAAAATAGTTTAGCTTTATTATATATTTCAAATTATATTAAATAATAGAATTCAAGATAAATCTAATATAATTAAGAGTTAATTAAAAAGTTATAATTTAATTGAATTAGAAGAGGAAATATTTATTTAATATATTCTTGATATAGATTTGAAAGGTTTTTTATTTAAACTTAAGAATATAAAAGATATAATAAATTATATTCTTAAATCGAAAGATATAAAATACATCGAAAAGTTTTAGATATATCAATTCATAAAATATCGAATCGAATTAAAAACACATTTTAATTGTGTTTATAACTTTCAAAGAGTTCTTTATAAGAATCTTAAACTTATTGAAAAGTGGTTTCAATTAGTTACAAATATATAAATGAAATATAATATTTTAAATAGAGATTTCTATAATTTCAATAAAACAGACTTTATAATAGGAATTATATATACAATAATAATTGTTATTAATACTAAGAAATATAATAAAAGTAAATCTATATAACCAGACAATCGAGAATAAACTATAATAATAATATATAGAAATGAAAAGAATGAAATTATTCCCTTATTTCTAATGGTTTAGGAACAGGTTTATCTCTTTAATTAATATATTGAAACCAATCTTCCTATAAAATAGATTATTAAACCTATATCTAATGAGTGGATAAATAATAAGACAGGTTTAAAATAATTGAAACACTTTGACAAGTATATTAAAAATTGAAGAAAGAGTAAATATTGAATATTGATATTGGATAAGTATAAAAGTTATAAATCAGTAGTTTTTTAAGTATATTATAAAGAGAATAATATTATATATTTATATTTACTATTATATTCAAATTATTTAATTTAATCATTTAATATTAACTATTTTAATAATCTAAAACATTTATATAATGATTAAATTAATGAATTTATTAAGATATATATTAATTATATTTCGAAAATTGAATTCTTTATAGCTTTTAAAGCTATATATAAGGAATCAATCATCTTTTAGAATATGAAATCAGAATTCCAAGAAATAGGTTTAATTCTATTGTTACGGGAGCTGCCTTTAGGATCATGTAAAAGTGGCTAGAGATCTCTCAAAATGGTTTAGATTAGATTTCAAGTAGGAATTCAATAAGGTTAATAATTGGTTGTAATTCTTGTAATTATAATAATAAAACTAATAATTGTTCTTGAGCATGAAGCTTTATATTATAATGAAACTTATTTTCTTATATAAACCTTCATTCTCTATTATATTCCTTAGGACCTTTCTATAGGCTGGATCGCTACGGACCTCACTGCGCTCCAGAAGCGCTACAGCTCCTTGACGCTCCGTCACCTACTCATAGTCATGTGACGCGGTACTTCGCAAGGACCGTCATAACACCTATTCAATCTTAAAGCTGTACTCTCGAAATTAGATATTCGAATTTATATACTTACCCCCCTCTCTTTCAATCTAAACCAATAAATCTTTTAAATCCCTTACAACCCAATTAAAACTCTTTCTCAATTAATATTAATTAAATTTCAAATAACTCATCATTAAGTAAGCTCTTTTATATTTATATTTGAAATTATATTAATGTTACGGGAGCTGCCTCTAAGGTTATGTAGAAGTGTCTAGAGATCTCTCAAAATGATTTAGACTAAACTTTAAATAGAAATTCAATAAGATTATAACTATTACAATTCTCATAACTATAGTAATAAAACTAATGATTATTCTTAAACACGAAGCTCTATATCCTAATAAAACTCATTTATTATATAGACCTTCATCATCTGAAGCCCCTGGGATCCGTATGCTCCTGGAGCCCGTAGCTCCTCAAGGCTCCCTCATGTGACACGCGAATGTGTCATGTAATGTCTGTCGTAACAATTAACTCTAACTAAAAATACAGAAAGATTAGCTTATGAAAATACACTTTTAAATATAAAGAATTATATACTTTAAATAATAAATAAAGTATTAAACAAATATTAATATATATAAAAATCTAATTATATCAAGGAGGAGTGCTTATTAAACAAAAGACTTTTAATATATTATCTTAATAAGAAATTGATATTCAAGTTTAATATAATAAGTATTAAAAAGAGGGGAATTCTAATAGAGAAGCATTTTCTAATTGATATTATAGTAAATATAGAAAGATAGGTTATAATATAAGAATCTATCAAAATAATGTAATAGATTCTAAATTATTAGATTCTTATGTTACAGGAGCTGCCTCTAGGGTTATGTGGAAGTGTTTAGAGTTCTTTTGAAATGATTTAGATTAAACTTCAAGTAGGAATTTAATAAGGTTATAATTGATTGTAATTCTTATAACTATAGTAATGAAATTAATAATTGTTTTTAAGTACAAAGCTCTATATTATAATGAAACTTATTCCTTTATATAGACCTTCGTTCTTTATTATTCTATTAATCCTATTGTGTTCTATCAGATGGGAGCAGTGGGATCTAGTGGGAGTCCCTAATCCCGTGACTTCCTGATCATGTGATGTGGTATATTGGATGCCGTCGTAACATCTTAATAGTTTTAATTAATTGATTTAGTTATTATTAAATAATATAGCTTTGAAATAACAATTTAAGGTAAAAGTAGCCGATTCATTGATATAACCGACCCACTAATAAACTACATTATATATTTTCAATTATATAAAATAAATAGAAAAAAAAAACCTATCCCTTTTTGAAACCTATTCAAATATACTATTGTAAAATCCTATTATATTATAGAACCTTTTAATCTTCTTATTTACCCTCTTATAATCCTTATAATCTTCTACTTCTTATATTTATTTTTATTCTTTCTTTCTATTTAATTCAACTTCTTTTAATATACTAAACCTCATAGTTGATATATTATTACCTTATTATAAAAATATCTTCACTCCTAAATTACTAACCCTCAAATTTTTCGAAATCTATTTATAATATTAATAATTCCAATTTCAATTCTAATCTTATATTATAGAATCTTTCATTTCTAACCTTGTTCTTCTACTATTTCAATCAAATTAAGTTCTATTTGAAACCTATTATCTTTATTTTCATTTCGTTTTATTTAATATTACTTCTTTAATACAAAGATTCTAAAGTCTTATAATAAAAAAGGTTAATGATTATATAGCTGATTTTAATTTATATTTGATATACTAATAATCTAAAATAAATTATATAATAAGTATAAAACGTATTGTAATATGAATTTTTATTATAATATATACTCTATATTATTAACGATTATTACTTCCTCTTTAAATAACTAATAATATATTATATATTATGAAAG